AAAAAGAGTACTCCAGTCTACAGAAGAAAAAAAATGGGCAACATCAGTGTTCTGACGATGTATCAAAAGCTCCTAAACATCAGCAGACCCCAGCCTTTGCTTTCAAAGCCTGAGAACAAGCTGGGCTATGAAAGGTCTTCGCTTGTCACTCAAAACACCAAGAATTCACACTGATCTCCAAGAACTGAACTTCACAACCTGCAAAACACACTATGGGCACGCTGTGATTATTTCTTGTCTGCAGTGCTCGTGGAAGACAAAACCCTTGAACCTACAGGCCCCCGCACGGAAGAGCGATGCGGGCGGCAGCCGTCGGCCACCGAGGGAGCCCGGCCGTGACATCGGGAGAGCCTCCCGGCGGGCGCTCTGCTCTGACCGGGCCCTGCGGCGGCTCCGGCCTCTCCTCGGCTCTCCCCGCACCCGCGGCCCGCCCGGCCCGGCCCGGCCTCCCCTCACGTACCCAGCGAGCGCCCGGGGTCGCCCGCGGCCGCCGCCTCATTCCCCTCCGGCCGCTCCGCGCCGCTCATCGCTGCCGCTCCCGGCGCCCTCCGGCAGAGCAGGGCAGGGCAGGCCCGCCTGAGCCCCCGGCAGGCGGGTCCGGCTGCCCTCAGCGAGCGGGCCGGCCCGGCGCCCCCCGGCCCGCGCCCCGCCGCCGCCGCACCATAGAGTCCCCGTGCCGCGCTCCGGGCTGGGCGGCGCGCCGGGCGCGGAAGTGACGCGCCAGTGACGATGGTGCCGCTGAGGGACGAGCCTGACACCGGGCCGGGCCCCCGCCGGCACCGTGACGGTGTCGGTGTCGGGCCGTGCTTCCTGCCGCTCTCCTCCGCTCCCCGGGCCTGCCTGACTCGCTCGGAGCGCTCGGAAGCCGCCCGGCCCCGGGAGCAGCCTCGATGTGCGGAGTTCCGACCGCGCTGTGGAGCGGGGCCCTGGCCAAGCGCAGGTGCGATGGCCCCGTCCCAGCGTGCGGGAACAGCGGCTGCCGGGCGGGAGCAGCACAGCGCAGCCAGGGAGCTCTGCCGCTGCGGCAGGACACAACTAAAATCACCGCAGGTGCCCTTTCTTAGGGACATCCTTGCTCTTATATTTTAGAGATTTGTATTCGCAGAAACAGCGCAGACTTTACTTGCAGCTTTTGTTTCTTGGGAAATACATAACTAGCTTTTGTGTATTCGTCTGTCTCTGCATCTCCCCCGACAGTCTGCACGAGCAGTAATAACTTCACACAGAATCATAGAATATTCTGAATTGGAGGGGTCATTAAGTCCAGCTCTTAAGTGAATGGCCCATATGGGGATTAAACTGCCACCTTGGTTTTAGCACCCTGCTCTAACCAACTTGCAACTATATATATTCTTTAATGAAAAAGCATTTTTTCATGGTATGGTAGGATTTATAATTTTTTTCCTCTTTTACTTATAAAGGTATTTTCCGGAAATGCAAGTGCAACTATAGAAAGAAACTAATGAAGGACCACTCAGAAAGTTTTTTAAATGCAATATTTTAATATATCCCCAAACCTTAAAGATTAAATTAGATTCAGGCAGTCCCCTTAGAGCTCTTCAGAAATAGATCAAGGCAAAAAAAGAGGATTTTGAGGTGATCTCTTGTGGTTACTGCGCTGCAAAGAGAGAGAAAGCAACACACACGGACCTCTTTGGGGAAAAAAGGCCAACTTTATTGTACGGACATCCCGTATTTAAAGTGTGTTACGTGCAGCCAGGACAGGACAGTAGTTCATTGGACAATTGATAAAAACATCCTTGGGACAGTACCTCGGATGTATCCCACGGGAAAGACACCAGGTGTTAATCTTTATTATGAATTCCACTCTGTTTTTTATCACCCTGGGAAACTTCCTCCCTGACTGAAGCTGTAGTCAGCTTGTCAGCCTGGGCATGGAGCTGAGAGTCAGGAGAAATCCAGGCCTGAAAAAAAATTTCAAAGCTGTAATTCCCTAGCTCTCTAAATGTGTGTGTCCACAATCTGTCAACCTTAAATCGAACATTTCTAACAGCAAGATTGTTGCAAATTAATTTGCATTTTTCTTCATATATATATATTCTAATTAACTTTTGCTCACAATTATGTCACTATTCCATCATTATATTAAAAACTTATCCATCTTTCTGCTTTTTTAAAGAAGCAACAAGAGGAAGTTGTTAATTAACTCAGACTCAAATTCTTAAGTCCAACTGGTTAGCAATTTTACATAAAAGCTTCTTTTTGTAGGGGGGAAAACCCACAACTTTTGTTGAAAGCTTCATTGGGAAAGACTTCTCAGTTTCCAGATGGAATTTCTAGTAAGAAGAAGTGAGATAATGACTCTGAAATAGTCTCGAGATGTAGGAGTTTCAGATTTGTGCTCCTGCTTTGCCTGTTCCAGGCCTTCCCACGTCTTGCAGAAATAGACTTCGGATTGGAATAGAAAACTGCTCTCTGGTTTTCTAGACAAATTAAAATTTAACTGTTTGTCAACCCAAATGTTCCAAAAAAAAGAATGATAGAAAACTTTCCATGTCCTTTTCTTCTGCAAAATGTCCTCTGTTTCACAGGAACTATTTCCAAAGTGCCTTTGTATGTAATACTGTTAACACCACATAATCGTGTTCATTTTAATTTTATGTTGTAGCAACCGTGTTGAGAAACCTTTAATGGAACACTGACACATTTGCATTTAGGATTTTATTGTTGAAACTAATTTAAGCAGTTATGTATGTGTTAATCGTGCTCCACTCTAGAAATGTGAGTGAAAATGGAGTTAAGTTAGCTTGAGTTTTATAGCAAAAAAGATGTTTTGAACTATTAGCTTTGGAGGTGTCACATGACTTCAAGGATGACAACATGGAAAGGAAATACTTCACATTAATAGGTAACCTCTTAGAGACTCTCTGTCCTTGTTAAGTAAATGAGACAAAGAAAGAGTAGAGCCTTGGCTGTAACAATAAAGAAATTGAGCATAGCAGGCTGGTACAAACAGTTCTGTTCAACAGAGGCTCATCTTACCAATGTATGAGCTGGTTCTTGACTTGACAACACTTCTGGTCTTAGTTATTCAGTAAAAAGTGAGTTGGCAAACCTTGGTGCACTGGTTTAGTGTGTTTCCTCCCAGCTAAATACCCTTCCTCAGTGCTGGAAGTTTCTGTTCCTGTAGAAGTGGCAAAGCTCTAGTGTAAAGTCCAACATTTTAAGACAGTTTTAAAAGCAATTCTGGTGGCTCCTGGAGCTTGGCTGCTCACGTCTGTGTGTCATCATTCACTTGTGCTGGTACAAGTCGTGAAACTCTTGAAACACAGAGTGAGTTAAATCACCCAGAGAGAACAAAACATTAAAAATGGGTGAACTGGAACACAGCTGGGAGCACTTCCCTAGGCAGCAAGGCCGGCTTAACTGGTTCCCATCCTTGGCTGCTCATTCTAACTCCCACACTGTTCACTGCTCCCCTGTTGTCATACGGATGTCTGTGCGAGTAGAGACCAAGGAAGCAGTCTCAGTTACACATACAAATATATCCAAAACCCTCCCAATATGCATTGTCTAATTCTGACCCATTTCAGGGATTCAGTTCATTGTCTGGCTCCTGCACAATTGTACTGGTAATAATGCTGGGGTAATTATGATGTGGGTGAAAGGACAGGAGATGGCACCACTTTAGCCACTTGAAGAAAAATAATGTGAGATTACATGCTCAGGGAAACAGCCACATTGTAAAGTGGCAAAGGAGCTCAGATAAAGGGTCACACTGTCTATTTTTGGACATCATTGAGAGAACAACAATAACCAACCTCCACCCAAGGCCAGTTTACCAGAGGACTCCCATCCCACAGGGCCTGTTCCAAGGGGCTCACTCCATGTCTTGCACCACTGCTCTGATGGCTGCCAGAATCTGTCAGCCCTTGACCAGAAAAAGAGTGCCCTTCTCCAAAATCCTGCACTTCTGTACAACTCTCCAATCTTGGTAAATTCCTTCAACTAAGTAAAAAGCCAAGATATATATATATATGTACCTTCTCTCTGACAGGCATGATTTCCCAGAAGTGTTTATAGCTTAGCGAACTGAGTACAGTAATACAATTTGGCCATATGTAGGCACGTGTAGGCTGAAACTCAGAAGAAAATTTCTAGTACTCAGACCAATGAGGAGCGGGAATAACCTCTCAGAAAAATTAATAAAGGCAAAAATCTAATTACTCTTATATTAGAGCACAGTTATGAAAGGAATTATACAACAGCAAGGTCTCTGAGGTTTGTTTCTCCTTACATCCTTTAAGGAATGTTCAGAAAGGCGTATGAAACTTCGTACAACTCTGCCTTAACAGAGTTAGTGTAAAGAGCTGTGCCGTGACAGAAGAGAAAAGCAACACAATGCAAACTTCTGCCTTTCAAAATCTGAAGCCAGAGCACGGAACGATGCAGTTCAGGCTTCCAGCGTACTGAACACAGCTTTCTGTCTATCACGGACCACCATACCTGCATTGTATGGCTTTGGCAGTTCTTAGCCTCTACCTCGCACGCCATTTACCCAGTGAACACGACCGCACAGAGGGACGGGAGCAGACCCTCAGGCCACGCCGAGGGACGCGAGGGGGACACCGGGCGGGCCCCTATGCCCTGAGCCCCGCAGCGCGATTCCGCCGCATCGCGGGCAGCGCGGGCGCGGCGAGACGGCGGCAGCGGGACTCGAACCCGCGGCCGTCCCGGGCGGACGGCGCAGGCGCGGTGCCGGCGGGGTCCGCGGGCGCGCAGGGGACGCGACTCCCGCCGACTGCAGCCGCCGCCGTGCGCGGGGCGGCCCCGGGAGCGCGCAGGGGTTGCGGAGGAGGCGCGCTGCCCGCCCGCGGCGGTGCGCGGAGCGGAGGGATGTGACGCGCATGGCGGCGGCGGCGGCGCTCCCCCTGCGCCGGCAGGGAGGCGGCCCCGCGCCGGGCGCCGCCTGCCCGGCCGCGGCGTGACCGGGGCTGTGCCGGCTGAGCGCTGCGCGGGGTGACCGGGACTTCGGCGGTGACAGCGCCTCGCGGCGCGGTGCCCGGCGCGGAGGCGGCGCTGAGGGCCGGCGGTGCCGGGGCGCTCCGCGGCGGAACCCCGCGCCGCGTTCCGTCCGGCCTGCGCGGGGCCCGGAGGGGCGATGTAGGGGACATGCCCTGACGGGACGACGAGCGGTCTGGGCGCCGCCTGCGAGGGCACAGCTGCGCCAGCGGAGCCACCCGCGGCGGGTCGGCCGCGCCCGGCGAGGCCCCCGAGCGCTGCCGCTATGGCTGGGGCCGGGCTCTGGACGAGCATCAAGTCCCTGCTAGGGAGAAGCGAGGACCCTCTGTTCCTGAACGACTCCAGTGCCTTTGACTTCTCGGACGAGGTGGGGGACGAGGACTTCCCCAGGTTTAACAAGCTGCGCGTGGTGGTGGCGGACGACGGCTCGGAGGCGGCCCCGGAGACTCCGGTGAACGGGGCGTCCCCGGGGCTGCCGTCTGACGACGAGTCCCTGCTGGACCGGGACATCGCCCTGCGCAGCGCCCGGGCCGGCCGGCCGGACCCCTGCAGCGGCTGCAGCAGCCGGCGGGAGCGCTCCAAGCAGAGGAAGGTGAAGAAGCGGCTGACGCTCGCTGCCCTCCTATACCTCCTGTTCATGACGGGGGAGCTCATAGGTGAGTCGGGGGCCTTCTGTGCCGTCCCTCCGCACGGTGCCTCACAGCCTGTTAGGCTGCTCTGGCCTTGGCTTTGAGTATTTTTTGACAGAAACCATCAGTCCTTTAGAAAGAACAGAGAGATGAGCTGCACGTGCAGAGGGTGAGAGGGAATAAAGTCCACTTGTATTTTCCATGAAAGAATTTGCAACTTCTCTTACCTGAATTTCTCATTAATTCCCTGAAATGGAATAAAGTATACAAATTTTTCTTTGTCTAATGGATTTTGATTGCTCCTTGTAAGTTTTTAAGGTGTTTTTAACAAAGGCAAAGTGGCATGAACAATTTCAATTGCAATATTTTTTAATCCACGGCCATAAAGTCTTGCTGTGTTTGCAACAAGAGAATAAATAGAAAATACAGTTTCAAATGTGACATTTACCATAATAATGAAAATAATACTGAGGGGTATTTGTCCTTATTCACCAGATACAGCAATACACACAATTACTTAGAAGTGAAGACAAGTCCTAAGCTATCAATGGCAATCCAGTGAAGACATCACTCCCTTGAGAACTTCTTCATGTCCTACTGTGCTCTGGACTAGCGTGCTCCATGCAGACATAAATCGTATGAGCACAGTAATTTAAAGTGATAGTTATTTTAACACTTCTCGCCCCAACATATCAAAGTACCAAGTAGTTGCATTAAATTATTTGTGGTTTTTGTTTGTTAGTCCTTGCAGAAGTATAGTGGGGTTTTACCTGAAAATGAGCTCCTATATAAGCAGCTGATTGTTGGTCAGAAGAATAAAACTATTGCTCAAGTTCAGCTTTTATTGCTCCCTCCTAACAGCTGTGCTGTGCAGGACGAGGAGAACCTGTGCATTATACACCAGTCTGTACTCAACAACTGTGCTTTATCGAATAGGCTATAGCAGAGTAGAATTGAAATAAAATGTGAGTGTCCCTGAGATGCATAGATTAGCTGTTAAATGTTATGCCTTTGCCATTGTCTAGTCATTTTTACAAAGTTCAGTATTTATCTTTTAATCTCTGTTCACTTACTGTGTCCTGTTACTATTTGTATTTTGGATACATCCATGCCATGCAGTGCAAGTGTCTCCTGGGTGTGACTCAGCCTCCTGCAAAATGTTTTAATGCTTTACTCCACTGTCCCCTGATTTGGAGTTGTGGGGAGAACTACACAGTGCCAGTACATTGATATATGTATGTTGAGCCAGGTCTCTCCCTAGCAATTAATTGGTTTTCAGTTTCTTAAATTTCAACATTCAAGTCTGAATCAGAGCTAATCAGATTAATTACTTGCCATAATTCAAACACACACACACACAAAAATTCAAATCATAAAAACTTTCTGGAAGTGAAGAACAGTAGCATGGGACCTACATCTTCCTCCTGACTTGTGCAAACTGAGTCAGTTGAGTACGTGTGTGAAGCGAGCTCATGCTCTTGGATGCTTTTTCTAGGACAGCTGTGAATTACGTTTTTAAGACTAATGTGTGCAAGATGGAGAGGGAGTGAAATAATTGCTGGAGGATAACTAATGCAGTTTGTCCCACAGATATAGGGGAAAAAAACCCCTAGAAGAAATGTTCTGTTTTTCAGAGAGACCAGAATATTGACTGTGTCTGCACCAGTTTTATTTGGGGCCTTATTTCAGGAATGTGGGTTAATGGAAAAAAGTAGTTTTGCCTTTCAGCATGTCTCAGTGTGTGGCTGGTCATTAATAACATGGCCACAATACATCAGTTTATTATGGCTAAGGCACTATGTGTCAAACCTGTTGGGATTTGGCTGAATGCCACCATTTACCCCCTGGCTCCATGTTTTTTCTCTGGCTGAGATTTTGGTTCAGCATGAACTCAGGTAAATTTGATAAGCAATAGTGTTGTATTTTAGGCTTAGACATCCATTAACATGAGAGTGATGTTAGTTGACTGTATTTGTATCAGAGTTCTGATGTACACAATTTAGTTCATCTGAAGGGCCTCTTTCTGAATAATGTCTGAGCTGTTGGCAGGTTGATGCTCAAGTCACTAGGAGCATTTCTCTTTGGTACTTTGGATCCAATTCATGCTGTTGGAGACCTCTCCATAGCTAATGCAGGGAGAGCTCTAGAAATAATAGATGTTGAGAGTAAAAATACTCTCATCACTGTCACATCATCTGTTGTTCTTCCCGTGCAGTCAGGACTTGAGCAGGCTGGATTTGTCTGTACAGAGTGTTAGTGCTGTACTGTGGACTTGTCCTCCTCACGTCTGGGTGTGCTGTTTCCAGCCATATTTCATACTTTGGGCACAGAATCAGAGAGCACTGAGGGCCAGACCCATCAAATATTCAGGTATCCATCTTCCACAGAGAATAAATAGAGGGTTTTGATATCTCTGTAATTCTGTGGATCTTGACCTGAATGACTTGTCACAGGGCAAGTAGTTATCAGCAGAAGAGTAATTAGAGATACAGCCCCCAAGTCCTGGGTCAGTGCCCCACCTGTTTAATTTATTTCATTCCAGCCCTGTACTGTGTTGTCTTTGGTTGGTTTCAAATTTCCAAACTTTATGAATTGATCTGAAGCTCAGATATTTGGGAAACTCCTGTCATACAGGATATTTTAACTGACGTCTATGATCTTTGATAGATTTGAGTTTCTGAAAAAAAGGCAGAAGTCTCTATCAATTATTTTTTTCAGTAAAAATCTTTCTGATATCTCTTACCAATGTCAAGATGAAGGAAATCTTGTTTCAGCAGGTTTTTTTGTGAAATCTTGATTGGCATATTTTTCCAAACTCATTACTCCAGCCTATCTCAAGAGTTTGTTGTTTAATTTGATGAACAGTCAGATAACAATTTACACTTTGGGAAAACCATTGTGTATCAAGAAATGAAAAACATATTGCAAGTGCTAGTTAGCTTTTCTGACAGGCTTTTGATGTTTTCAGCTATGTTTAGAGATTTCTAATTGATCATCCATGAGGAGAACTGCTCTCCTTCATGGGTCACTGAAAACAGTGGTGAGCCATCAAGCTGTCTATTTGTAAAGGTTATAGATGTCTTTTTTTCCAAGTTGCCAGTTGTATTTAAACTGCCCCTAGGCAGTACCTTTAACCAAGTGATGAACTGATACCTTTAGAAACAGAGAACCTTTGATTTCAGGATTTTGTAAATGGCAGTTGTGTTTTCTTAATCCACATGCTGCATTACGTTTAACTTCAGTATCTGAATTCCTTCCTTATAATTTTATTTTGAAAATCTTTAAAAGTGAGAGGCTAGCTGAAGTGGAATTGCCTTTTCTTGGACTGAAGTGATTCTCAAAATAATACATACAAATCAACATATATACTGTAAGTAATGATATATGTAAACTGCTGAACTAAATGTCCTTATATATAAATTATTGTTCCTTCATGGTTGACTGTAAAAGAGGCTGAGTTGCACTTTCTAAATAATTTCTTTCTAAATTATGGGAGAACACAAATTAATTCAGAAAGGAAAGGCATAACTCATTTTACTCAAAAAGCTGCTGAATTGCTAAATCTTAAAAACTCATTGTTTTTGAGCTGCAATGGCCTTTTGAAGAATTTCAGCCTCAGAAGAATTTGACATAGAAAGTTCTGAACAACTGAAGAAAGGGGCTGGAGGAAAGGAGGTGTTTGAAATGTAGTGCATTTGGTAGTTGCCCACAGCACAAACAGTACTGCAGTACTGCTGTGCTCCGTGCTTGGCTGGGGGGGAGAGAGTAGCTCTGGCTGCAGGTGTGTACATAAAAACACCTGCAGCCACACACACAGGTTTTATGACCAGTCCTAAAAGCAGTCAGCCAGTTGTGAATTCCCCTTCGCTATTTCTTCTTGTCAGCCTCTTCACTAAGACAATTTTAATTGTATACGAAGATTTCTTGATTTGAAATGTTAGCTGGAGCCTGAAGCCTGCCAAATGGCACACCAGCTGCACGCTTTGCAGTACAATTTACAGGCTGCATGGCAATCCCAAGGTAAAAAGAGAAACCAAATCATAACTGAGCTGACACTGAAGATGTGATCTTACCTTCAAGCATATGGGGGACAACACGCTTGTCCTTGATTCTCCTTTGTATAAGGGATACTTAAGCGAGAGGTGCATTGTTTAAATCTCTCATTCATCTAATAGTAGCACTAGCAATTGAATTGGAACAAAGACATTAACCTTTGATCTCAGGTTATTTGTCTCAATGCAGCTCATTATTACAAGAAGAAATTATGGTAATAAATAACAAAGAAAAATGCTGTACGAGTGAAAGTCAGTGTCTGCAATAGATATTGCCAGAACTTACAAATTCCTGCCAGGATGGGGAATAATTAAGGTTAAAAGATAACGTAATAAAAATAAAAAGGAGACAGGGAAAGTTTCCCGGTCGTTGAGTCTTTGGAGTTCTGTTCCTGTTCTGTAATGTCAGTGTTTAACAGATACAGTTTAACAAAAGAATCAGTTGATTAAATACATGTGCTGTATTATGTAGAGAAAAGATACAAAATTGTTTTGGACCTGATCTTGCAAACATTATGATGCAAGTAGTCTCTGTTAGAACAACAGGAGTGAATCCTTTCTATGTTATTCTTAATGGAAAGCACACTTGACTGCACTTTTAACTGTGGTAGCTTTAAATTATAGCATGGCATTTTGCTTGTAGTGGCAAACCCCATCCATGTTTAGTGAGTATAAGAAGGGCTCTCATGTACTTACTGCACTATTCTGAAAGGAAATAACTGTAAGCTATGCAAGAGGATATTATGCAAAATAATTAAAAATGTCATGTGTCCTGACTTTTCTTATTATGTTTTCAGGTGGCTATGTTGCTAACAGTCTTGCAATTATGACAGATGCACTTCACATGCTAACTGACCTTAGTGGAATTATTTTGACCCTCCTCGCTCTCTGGCTGTCTGCAAAATCTCCGACAAAGAGGTTCACTTTTGGATTTCATCGCTTAGGTATGGAGCGATCAGATTTTGCTATTAAAGAGTATTTTAAGCATCAACTGTAAAGGACACCTAAATCTAGAAGAACAGGTAGCTAGAAAGAAAGTAGCAACAAACCTAAGAGTTGCTTTAACTGACTGTCCTTTCACTGGCCATTGGGGATAAACTGCATAGGTTGTATTGCCACAAGGGAATAGATTAAAAAAACAAAAAACCAAACTTGGCCAAAAGTTTGATGGCAGAATTTCATTGACTGGGAGCAGGACAAGTCTTTCCATCTCTGTGGAACTGGCACTTGGCATATTCAGAGTTAAATTCTGAATGCTCGATTCATCTTCCCTCTTGAAGAGGAAGGCTGGGCAATAGAATTCACGGTGACATTGTTGGTGCAGGAGCTGTGCATGCCAGCCCGTTGTTCACAACAGATTATTGCCAGTGCCCAGGATTTACGAAATCTTGTTGACTTCAGCAGAATTGTGATACTGAAGAAAGGTCCTATTCAATGTGAAAAATTACATTTTAATCCACAACTAAGAAGTTATGTAGAACATATTATTAGAGAGCTCTGCCCTGCCAGAAGTCCTTTAAATCAGTATTCCTCTTGCATTCCCCAAACCACAGAAAGCTGAGGTCAAAATGCCCCATGGTTTGCAAAATACAGCAAGTTATTTAACCTCTGTCCAGTTTAGGTGTATCTAAAAAGAAGTATAAACAGAATTATGGACTAACCTTTGGCAGAATATTTTCAGGATTTATTACTTCATGTTTGGAAATTTAATGATGATAAAGGGTGTTTTCATTTGGTTGCTAACTGGATATAATATACAGCTGCAGGTCTATAGACATTTTAGCAAAAACTTCAAAGTATCTTTTTCATGAAATAGATAATTTGTAGTGTCCCAGTTTTCTACCTGTTTTCTGTAACACTCTATAGCATGCATTTTTCAAGGAGTTTCATTCTTGTGTAGTAAGTATTTGCAATTCTTATTTTGGCTGCTAGAACAGCAGTAGAATTCAACAACTCCATCACTCCTTGTCATTTGTCATCAGTTAGTCACTAGTGCATGAATGCATAACTCTGTACACTAGCTAAGCTCTTTGGGGCTCTAGCAAGAAAGCATTAGCAATGCCAGCATTTCCCATTACCAACTTTTCTTTCATGAAGTTTTAATTTTGTGATAGGAGCTCCTCTGATACTGAAACCTGACCTTGCAGGTATGCCCCTGGCATTTGCTCATACTCTCCAGAAGGATGTTTGTTAGCATTTATACATACTTAAACCCTATTTCAAAATAATTTGGGTAGTTTATATTCTTTGTAACGTTTATAAAACCAAATAGCACATACCTTCAACATGCCATGGCCTAGCTTAAAACAGGGGTTTATCTTAAGAAAAATCAAAGAAACTTACTTAACAATTAAAATCTTACTCAGTTCTGTAAATCTTCACAGATTTTTCAATTAATGTGAAAGAAGAAATTCCTGAGGATTCCTGCCATCTCATTTTCTATATTTTTTTTTCTTTCCGGTTTACTGCCAGGGAAAATACTAGTCAGATACTAGCTAGACTGATCCAGTTGTGGTCCATGGGCCAGATGTGGCCCATAAAATCAGTCTGTTTTGCCCTTCTCCCTAGGAGCAGCTACAGGGAGGAGCCTCTCAGTTCTGCAACAGTTGCTCCTCCTTTTCTGCTCCCAGTGCCAGCAGTTGGTGAAAGACAGAGCAGGCTGTGGAGTGTCCTCAGTTGGAAACACATGAAACCCACCTGGAAGCAGCCCTGAGCACCCCACTGTAGCTGACCCTCCTTTGAGCAGGACTACACAGTTTCCAGGGCTTCCTTTTTACTTCAACCATCCTGCATGAGTAGCAGCAGTGCAGCTCTGGAGGAGGAGGAGGAGGAGAGCCTGGGGCTGGATAGAAGGGTTTCTGTGCTGCAGGAAGGAAGGGGAAGTGAGTCAAGGCCTTGCCAGGGACCTCTGAAGTACAGAAGATGGGATGGTCCAAAATTACTGCACACAGTCTTTCTAAAAATCATATTTGTGAAATTGATTTGCCTGATTTTAGGCACCTAGTCTGAATGCTGTGGCCTGAGGGTTCAGTTTCACACATCAGTGAATGCTGGCAATGGAACAGAGCAGTTTCTAGGGTATATCCTCCTTGTAACACAGTTTTCCAAGTAACATATATATAAGAAGCTTGTCAGCAAATAATATCAACAAATAAAATGTGTCAGGATGTTAAATGTAGGGTACAGATTGGGCATCTGTCACAGAAAAAGATGTGGAGAATTTGTTTAAAGCTGCTGACCTGCTCTTCATTAAGTTTTAAGATCATCCATACATTCAGTAGGCATGAAAATGTTGTAATGCACAACTTTTCTGGTACTTGTTACCATTTTTGTTTGCAGAATGATGAATTTTCAAACTTATTCCCATAAACATTGCTTTGTAAAAGCAACAGACCTGGTAGTTGTCCAGTCAAATTCCAGAAGGAAGTTAGCACTAATTTTCATTTATTTGAATTCTCTTTGAATACATAATATATAAGTTCCATCTTCACTTTTATTCCATTTTCAGTTGTGAAAAAGCAGCTGACAGATTCAGGAATGGGTTAGAAAAGTGAAGACAAAATAATGGCAATTGCAGTCATGTCAAAAAAGAATTAAATTCTTGAAGCCAAAAATAGTTCAGTTTCACCACCAAGTGCAGATACCTCCCTTTCAGCAAGACACTGAGCAGATTTAAGCATAGATATGGAACCTGGCACTGATCCATTGCTGCAGAGACAATGTTAGTAATGACAGAATCAGACAGTCCACTGAGACCACGCACAGTTCATTTCACAAGAAGTGAAAGATCTCAGCACAAATCTACAATGCTGACATGACAGTGACTGTGGAAGAAACTGCAAGGAAAACACTGGTTTCCATTGCAGAAAATATGGGTTTAGATTGTAAAAGCACACTATATTGTTTCTCTGGTAAATGCTAATACGCTGTGGCTTCACAAGTTTTTTAAAAAGCATTCTGCAAAACCTTCTAAGCAATGTATTGTGTATTTTTAAGACTGTTGTCCTGATTAATCTGCCAGCTTCATAAAGATCACTTCCATTTTTCTGGATATTTCCAGGATTTTCAAGTTGCTCTGAAATCATCTTAGATTATGCCAGTTGCCTTTCAGAGCCTTGTTACTGCCTGGTAATGCTGTTCCTCATCCATTTACACACTACCCAGCAGCTGAATATGTTGGTGTGAGTTCCTTCTCCCATAATGATGTTAATAATTCAGTGCATGGATCAACTGATTCTGGTGACATTAAAATGCTGATATAGCTGCATGGGCTTTTTTCTGTAATACTCAATAAATAAAATTAGAACACTTCTGTGTTAGAAAAGACATATGCAGTAACCCAAGTTGTACTGCAGGCTGACAGATTCAAAGCAGAGGAATAAGAGAGGCAATTCTCAGATGAGTGTTCTTAGAGCTATGCTATAGCCAAAGGGAGAGTTTTGCCCTTACTGGAGAATAAATCAGGGCAACATGTGTGGAACTAGGGGGAAGAACAACCATTACAATTCCAAGTAAATTAATTCCACCTCTGATCTTTGAGTTCACAGAGGAAGGCTGAGATCCCAGTGATCCATCTGGCAAGTGACAGTAATGAGCATTATGCATAATGATTACAGATTACTCAGGCATGGCTGCAGATTTATATGCAATACAATGGAGCGAGCATTAAGGTTTTCCCAGGGCTTTTTGTAAAGCCCTGTATTAACTTGCTTATAACTGAGACAGTCTTTAACTGGGCTAATGTTTTGTCTGCCAGCTGTGTTGCTCTTTTTTTTTTTTTTTTTTTTTTTTAGGTTTCAGCTGCTGCAGGGTGATAATTTTCAGAATATGAAGCTAGAGGCTAAAAGTACGTTTATGATAAAAGCACTCTATTGGCCCATTTGGAAATAGCTATTTTCTTTATAGTAGGACCTTAAAACTGTAGTGTGGACTCATCCTTCTCAGGTTTGTGCTACTACCAGCACAATTTCATGACTTTGGTACTGAGGCAGCAGTACCCAAAGAGACAAAAGTCCTGACCTATGAAATACTCAGCCCTGTTTACCTCCCATCTGAACAGCAGGAACTTTGTAGAGAACTGTAACCACTTGCCACAGATGTAAATGGCAGCAAAAAGTACAAGACAATGAAATACTAGTTTTTATTAATTTTCTAATTTTTATCTCTATTTAGATATATGTTTCCTTTTGAAAGTCCCTGCTGATCAGATAAAATTCCTATGCCAAAATAATGGTCATAATGCTCTTACTTTTGTGAAATAATATTTGGTAAGTATTAAATAATATTAGAACAGCATATCACAGCAATACAGAAACTTATATTAAGCAAGCCTTTGTAGCTGAAGTCTGCCTCAGATAACATTTATGAACACATATGTCAAGGAGATTAAAAGTATCACGTGTGCTGATTTTGTACTGTTTGCTTTCTTTATCTTTTTATAATTTCTTCTCCATCCTAAATACAAAAGGATGTATAAAAATATTTTCTAAACTCAGCTAATACTCTGGACACTTAAAATCAAGGTTTCCTTATTTGTGGGTAGGCTGGTAATGTTTGAGATCACCTGTCCTCCTCACCCCTGGACAGGGCCTTTGCCTGTGACTTCTCAGGCAAATGTTCTGGGTTATTTGAAGAAGCCAGGATCATCACCTGTGCAGAACTTTTCAGAGAAAACATAATTTGAGGTATATACTGATGACAGGGACATGTGAAGGAGTAGATTAGAACAAAGTCAGTTGGTGGATCCTGTTTTACAAGTTTTATTTGCCACACAACTTGTTAGTTTATATTAGGTATGATATGGATAAAGTAGTTAAAACAAGGCCCTGCCCACATTCTAATTTGGAAATAGAAATGGATATGAGACACATTTTTATAATGTTTTTTCCTTTCTGTTTGCAGAAGTACTGTCAGCCATCATTAGTGTACTGCTGGTCTATATCCTTATGGCATTCCTCTTGTATGAGGCTGTTCAGAGAACCATCCATATGGACTATGAAATAAATGGTGATATCATGCTCATCACAGCAGCCGTTGGTGTTGCAGTTAACTTAATGTAAGATCTCTCTCTCCTTTAACATTCATAAATTTATTTCTCAATAAGCTACTAATTCATTCATGGCCCGTAACTTTGTCACGGGATGTAATTTTGCTGTACCTCTTAATTTTCATAAATAAGAAATTACACTGAATATTATTTTTTCGATTATTTGAAACAAATCCTCCTCATCCAACAAATCCAAAAGCCTGTTTCTTGAAGCATTTATCTTCTTTCACTTCCAGAATGGGATTTTTGCTGAATCAATCTGGCCACCTTCACTCCCACTCCCATTCCCACTCCCACGTTCCTCAGGCAAACTCTCCAAGCTCAGGCCAGGGCAGCAGCCATGGACACAGCAGCAGCCTGGCCGTGAGAGCAGCGTTTGTCCATGCCCTGGGGGACCTGGTACAGAGCATTGGGGTGCTCGTGGCTGCCTACATCATCCGCTTTAAGGTGAGGAAGGTACAGGGAATTCTTGGCATTTCAGCTCCTGTGATTAAAATCAAAAGGGGCCTGTTTTTATAAGTTACTAAAAGTACCTTTTTTATGATATTTTATTATAAGCTTCATACATCATGCAAAATAAGCAAAACTGTCTCTACTACATGTATTTTAACTATTAAAAAAAATAAATGCATGAGACTTGTAGCTAGAAGTAACCACTTTTTTCTGAGTCACATTTTTGTAAGTGATCTTGTTTTCATCCATCCTTTGACATTGTGAAATTTCCCTTTGCAGCCAGAATACAAGATTGCTGATCCTATATGTACATATGTATTTTCCATACTGGTGGTTTTTACAACAATTCGGATTCTGTGTGACACAGGAGTTATTATTCTGGAAGGTAAGATCTGTGCCCAATCTGCAGTACTTTACATGGAAAATACCAGTTTTCTTGACGTCATGATCCCCATCTCTGTGTGGATTGTACCTGGAGACCTGTCTGTCTTGGTGCTGCTTTAGTCTGGTGGTTCTTTATGCCTCCTCTAAATTGCAGCAGTTTTTACGTGTCTTTGACTGTGGCCAGAGCAACACAAGTCCTATGTCTGCACACTCTTTACCATCAGGAGATGTAGAAGTGAAATGTACAGAACTTCCTTGTGTGTCTGCAGTGACTCCAGCTAAATCAAGTGAACATTTGCCCAGATTCAGTTCTCCACCCTCACTTCTATTACTTTACAGTTAAAGTGAATGTGAATGCAGGTAAAAGGAGGCACCAAGCATAGGCAAATGGCTGGACACGTGGTTTCATGCCTGTCCTGTCTTCCCCTTTCCCAGAACTGCTTTTGTATTAATTGTGTGTATCCAGTGTTCCCGTAGGGGAAGCTGCCAGTTAAGAGTGGTGTAAAATGCAGAAAAGAAAGGGGAAGAGAGCTGAACATGGGCTGAAGGATCTTGCCTTGTGTGACATGGAGGGAAGCATGTCAGCAATAGCCTTTGCTTTATCACAGCTTACATGCCAACTATTACTGCTCAATCTAGTACTATTACTTTATAAGGTGAAAATGTTAGGGCTGGGAGAAAAATCCTAGGTTTTAACTTCACATTCCTAACTGTCTCATGTGAATTGTCATTGACTTTACTTTTATTATGTTATGAGGTTAAATCAGAAACCTAAGAATCTTCAGTCAAGTGCTTTTGCTGTCCGTTAAGATGAAAAAAAAATCCAACAAAGCAGAAGTCCACTGAGAAGGCAAAAATTATGAAATTTGCTGAAAAACTCTCAATTAGTTCCAGAGCTAATTGAGAGTTTTTGATTTAGCTGAAGAAAACAGATAAGACAAACTAAGAAGTATCATATTCCAGATATTTTGAGTTGTAGCTGTTTGCATAGGTATCCCAGTTGTCATAAAAATCTCTATATTAATGATGTCATTAAAAGTGATGATGTGGGCTTTATACATGATAAGGAGCTTTTCCAACTCAAATTCAGGATCTCCAGAGAGTGGTCTTGCATTTATACTGGAAACTGCTGCTGCAACATCAAGGCCCTTGAAATTGTATCAATTTTTGGTGTTAACTTCAGTTTCCTCATTATACTAATGCTAAATTAAAAATTAAATATCTATCCAACACAAGCAATGAGATTCTAGCTTTTAATAAAGATTTATGAGGCAGAATGGAAGCCCATCACAAGTATGACATAGATATGAGAATTTAGGTCCATTTCTCCTGGAAAAAAGCTGTACAAATACCAGACAGTTAGCTAGTTATTTATCAGCTAAATAGTTTTTGATGGTGTCCACTCTAAGGAAAATTCTGTTTCATGTGAGACAGTCCTAGACACTGAACTTTCAAAAGAGGTAGTACTGGAACTAAAGTAATTTAATAGACAGTAAGGCAACATGTTCAGAGAAGTCATGCAAAAAGTCTGAAGAAATTTGAGAAGCAAGTGGCTGAACTCATAGTATACATAAACTCCAGTAGAAGATAAGCCATAAAAGCTACTATAGAATCAAAATACTCAGAGAGTTTATTCAGTACTTGTATTAGTTTTTGACCCATGTAGATGATCTAAAATTTTGGTTTTCCCCTTTGGACAGATAAAGGATGGTGGTGGTAAGTTAGAGATGTGCTGCTGAAAATACCAAAAGGGCTTGATCTCTGATTTGCAGAGATGACACACTGTAAAACACAGTCCTCTGTGCTGACCACTGCACATTGATCACTGTAGCCTGTGAACAAGATCCCAGGTACCTGAAGAGCAGTTTCAGGAGACAGGCCCTAGCATTTTTGTAACAGATTTTAACCTTAGAGTCTGGCCTAAGTTACTAGGGGTTAGAAGCTGCAGCAGAGTTGCTAACTTTTGCTTTTTTAGTACATCATTGCAGAGGATCTAATGGCTGCTGGCTGTTGCCAGAGTGTGGATTCTGGACAGGACAGGACAGATTCCAGCTGAGACAGCTCTGTATTCATACTGGATTTAACAGGTCCATTTCCATATTATTTTCTGTTGATAACATGGAAGTCACTAATCAATTCCAACAGCACAAATTCTAATTTTTTTGACACTGGGATCTGTCGTGACATTTTAAAGGCTACTGAGACTTTGCAGAAGACAGAATTAATTTTATCTCATATTTGGTATCACAGGAGTTCCAAGGCACTTAAATGTGGATCGCATCAAGGAAGACTTGATGAAAATTGAAGATGTTTATTCTATAGAAGATTTAAATGTTTGGTCTCTCACTGCAGGAAAAACAACTGCCATAGTCCACTTGCAACTAGGTAAGCTGCTGGATAGCATAATTCTAAATTAAATCCAAGTTTAGGAAAACCCCACCACTTCCTCTTCATATTGTTATTTAAGTTGAACCAAGAAATATCATTCTGGGGAAAGAAAACCTATTAACTCTGGTTTCGTACAGCAATGAATAGAACACCTTGGCCAAGAAAGACATGGTGTAAATTAAAATTGTGCAGATGAAATATATTCATACCAAAATGTCCATTGCAGATTCTTTGGGTAGGGAAACAAAAACAACACAGAATTTCTCCTCAGAAATTTTCCTACATGTTTAGGAAAAGAAAGGATGAAGTTCTAATGTGGAACAATCTAACATATGAAAAATAAATGTTTTGCCAAGACATGTGCTGATTCAGATATCTAACTATACTATGAATATCAGTTCTTAGTAAGAAAGCTCTGGGTTTTGGGGGGAAAGTGTCAGACACACATGGAGTTCTATCAAGAAAGGTGTAAAATGATAGGGTACACAATGACCACAAGAACAATATTAAATTAATAAATGAGTGTGAACAAAAATTATTCTCACTGGTGACACTGTGCTAAGTTTGAGAACATTTGCATTGTCCAGGTGTCTTAAGGAGTGAATTTATTAATTATTTTCCTAATTTTGCAGTTCCTGGTAGTTCATCTAAATGGGAAGACGTTCAGTCCAAGGCCCGACAACTGCTGCTGAACACGTTTGGAATGTACAAGTGCTCTGTCCAGCTTCAGAGTTACAAACAGGAAATGAGCAAAACCTGCGCAAGTTGTCAGAGTTCCAGTGCCTAATCTCATGTTTTGGGAACTGCTGCCTTATTCTTTACTTTGTGTAGTCAAAGACTGAGAGCAATAAATGCAAAATGAAAATTATCCAATAGTAACCATTGATATGTGGATTTGTACCATGGGACGTGCAGCAAGGAGAACTGGTGCTGCAAAAAGTGCAGTGGTTGCCCTACAGAACATGTATTTCACTCTCTCCGTCGTACTGGTTTATTCAATTTATTATGATTTTGAGACAAAGCCGTTTTTGGATTATTGTTTACAAACTGGAACGTGGCTCTGCAGATACCTCACAAATTACAGTCCAATATTGTCCTTCAATCATTACATACCACAGAGTACCTGCACTCCAAACGGAGCATCAGATGTTCAGTATTTCAGTCAAAAGTCTCTCAAGCTGGTCGTACCAGGGTTGCACAATATTTCATGATCCCCAAATTCATTTTTCAGTATTTTTGCAATAGTAATTTTCATACAGTATCTCAAACTATTAACACATACACTAAGTTGAATTCTTGTGGAAACACTCTTCTTTGGAGACACTGCAAAACATATAATTTACTGTACCCAAACCAGAAAGTTAGCTTTAATCTGGGCATTCAGAGATCCAGACAGGAAGATCCTTGCCCAGACTTCTGGTATTTAACTAGAGACCCAACACTGGACCCAAAGTGTTTTAAGTGATCAGTTATCTTTAATGTATTTTAGAATAGGATTTATACATTAGAAACAGGTTATTTATTTTACAAAGTTTTGACTTGTAAGATGAATTTATTATTAATAATCTTGAATGTCTAAACCATCATTTGATTCACGTTAAAAGGCCAGTTGATTAGCATGCATTCTAATTGTAATTAATAAATGTCCTGTAATTGATAATTTTTTCATGATTTTTTTGTTTTTGTAAAAGAAAAGTCAAATGATAGAAGTGATATTTGGCATGGAAATAGTCTCAAATGCAATCTACAGATATGTGCATCTAACAGGAAAGTGGGGAGCAGAAGTTTTAGAGATGCACAATTCCATCCATCACAATCTCTGACCTTTTCATCTTTGCTTTGAGCACAGTATGGGAGCATCCTGACAGGAATGCCACTGTGATAGCAGTTCCCACTACTTAGCTTATGAATAAAGCAAAATCCAGGCAAGCTCAGTAACCTAATGGTGTTGGACAACAATATCATAACAACCTACAGTGGCAGAAAGGCTCTTCTGTATTTACAGAGAGGAGACTACCTGAAAAGACATTGATTTACGTGGATTCATCTGGACAGCTCAGAGTCCACAAAGTGGAACTGTTTGGCCTCATTGTGGAATGCTGTATTTTGAATGTACACAAGATAATAAATCTTTACACTAAGCTATCATACATCTACAAGCCCAGATTTAACCTGCTTCTGATGTCATTGGCATTGAAGAAATTAAGGGCAGCAAGAACATGACCTACAAAGTTCAGAAGATGGGAAGAACTTGGTTTCAAATGTACTTTCATCTTAGGCAGAACTTCCACTGACATGAAAAGTAGTTCTCTGTGTGGATCAGAAAGGAAAAATTTTGCTCAGTTACGGTTATTGTGATATTCAGCTGTGAATACTTCAGCTATTGTCTGTTTTGAAATTTGCTAGGACTTCACATTTTCATCAGGTTGATTTGTATCTGCATTTGGTGGTAACAATTTTGGCTTCTTTCTTCCCTTTTTGGAGGTAGGGAGATGAATTTTTCTTGATGAAAGCTGACAACACATTGTGAATGTGGACAAAGTGCACATAACACCGGATTGTGTTTGTATCTGTTTGGGCAAGAAATGGGAACACTCGTGTACAGCCTGGGAGCATGTGCAGCTCAAAAGCAGCTCTGTGCTTGGGAAGGTAATGCTGCAAAACAAACACTATCATTAATTAAGCCATATCACAGTTCATGGAAAATGTGCATCCCATCCTTACAAACTTACTGGCAAAAACCACAAATAACAGGTATTTTGCACATACTAATGCTCAAATGGGTTTTAATTAAATTGGGGTTTACAGTTGATGTAATTAGATGTTGAAGTACAGTAGACATGTATTGTATTTGCAGTTTTTTAATAATTTACTATACATTTGTTTAATTGAAGAAAAAAGGTGTGTTGTTTTATTGTGGGTTTTATTAAATCGATTATTAAACTTCACATTGTCTTATAAAGTATTTATTTGTATTTCTCTCATCATCTTTGAATTCTTACAGCAATCTGATTCTTAGGGCAGCTGTGCTTTGAAATGTCTGAACACAGCTTTAACTCAGTTTGCAGGTGCTATACATAGAATTAATTAATTCTCTGTCCTTAGTAAGAACAGTTTAAGACTTGTGATTTCACATGCAATAACTGCATTTTAGAAAGTAGAAGCTGACAAAGTATGGTGAAGGATCACCATAAAGCAACCGGCAAAACTTTCCTGAAACCCTACATTCACCCTTGAGGGCCCTTGAGGGGCCCTTGTTACCAAGGTCTGTAGACTGGAAGTTCAGAGAAAAGGCAACAGAAGACAAAATGAGAATAAAGAATAAAAGAATCAGTAAGTTTTTATAGATACTTCAAGATCGTTTTCAGTATCAGTTTAGAGAAAGGAGGCATTATTATAAATAAGGTCTCCTGTTTTTCCAAGCCAGATTATTTTATGTGGCTAAGATAGTTCACAGACTCTTACACTTCTTTTCCTTCTAACAAATCCTCTGCTTGAAATGAAAACGCATATACTTGACAGGACTTCTTTCTAAGCAAAAGACTTGCAAGGTTTCCATAACCAGTATCCCTGGTTTCCAGAGCTGTGCTGAATGCTCTTGCTGACTGAACGGAAGAAATCCCGAGAAAATCTGCCACTTCTGAAAGTCTACACTGAGAGAAGGTTTTTCCTTTCTAAATCTGTGATTGTCACCCATCCTTTTCTGAAGCACAGATACAGTTTTGATGACAACCTACTCATATGAGTCAATAAAACATTTTCATATGAGTAGACTGTAAACCCTCACGTCCCACTCTTCCCTTCTGAAGTGTTCTTATCCTAAGAAGAAAATTATCAGAAACATATTTTGTTTCTGAATGTTTTCCTTGCTTAATTATGTGGTTTGGTTTTTGTTTTTAATTGTGTTGACATTTTGTCTTTTCATTACCAGTAGCATTTCTTTCTTCACCAGCAGAATTACCATTTAAAATGTCGTACTTGAATCTGGTCTTCAATTATCTCACTACTGTACATTTCTGCTGTTTCTTGCAGAATCACTCCCAAGTGGCAGAATGACTCAGAAAAGCAGAAGGCTGGCATTTAAAAGTAATCTTCTGACATAGAACCAAAAACCCCAGAAGATACCCATCAAGTAATGAGTGGCAAGGATTTTGTTCAGGTATTTTGGTGGGATCTCATGAGCACACTGCACTGATGCTGCACAGGGCAGGGCTATTAAAGCATTATTTCTCTCTGTAAGAGTGTAATAAACGAATGTGGGTGGTTGGGTAAAAGACATGGTACATACTGCAGCAGCTTCCTAGTCCCATAAACTAATCCATGTCCAGAGCAGAAGTTCCCTTGGATCTCAAGGGAAGGGGACAATCCCCTGGAAATAACCAGCTCATTTCCCTCTATCCAAAGGGGCATTGCCAAGGTCTTTTTTTTTTTTTGCTGGTTGGTCCAAACACATTTAGTTTTTCCAGGAGTGAGCACACGTAGCTCAATCGTCATGTTTCACCAGCTCTTTGCATTATGCCACTGCTCTCAGCTTCCCTCTCTGTTTTCTTGCCATATTCTGCCCTGTCCACAGTTTCATTAAAAATGTCCAGCTCACACTCTGGGCACCTGCTGCTTACAGGGTCACCAGGAGCTTTTCTCACTGCACCAGGTGTGGAACACACCCCAACAACGGTGCTGTTCAAATACAGGCTTGCCTTTGCCCGAAGGTAATTTCCGGTTTGATCAATAGATTTAAAAAAATAAGCTTTCTAACCAAGTTGCTAATTCACAGGAGAGACCTAATCTGAAAGCCTCTAGATTCTACCATAAAAAAAAATATAAATGTCCTCCGCATTCCCCACCCTTAATTCTCTTTCCAGTTTCACCCTCTCCTCCCCTCTATAACAAATCGTGCTGGGCACTGACAGTCTCTGTACTCTGGAGCTGGCAAATCCCCTACTGCTCTACTCTTCTTATTCCATTTCCACAGCTGAATGCCCTAGGAAGGACCCTGCATCCTCTTTCATTCTCTGAAATACCTGACACAACTTCGGAAGCTACTAGAATAAATATGGATCCTTTCCATTTACTGTTTTGCAGCCACCACAGCAATCTGCTCTTAAAACACCCATGTAGCTGCCTTCTGTGTATTCAGCTGTAAAATGATGATATCCTCATCATTATATTTGCTCTTTTGAGTATTTTTGCTCTTTTATCTCTGTTTTCTACATTGTTTTCTCTCAGTATTGCACTGTTTGAAAGCGATCGGTGCTAAAAATGCAGGATAAAATAACTGCTTTTCTTACAGCTATTTAAACCTTTCATGGCATCAACTTGTGTAGGGAAAAAAAAGCGCCATTTCATAAGCAAAAGTATAATTTTATCCTTAAGATGACTGCTTCACGATTGCCTTGTTATTATACATGGTAAAAAGAGAAGTTGTCTCTCCAGGACAATTATCAGCCAGTACATGAGGGTACGTGAAATCAGTCAGTGCTGTCTGTCCAGAGAGTGTTTTGCATTGTTTTACATAGTAAACTAAGTCCTGATACACACAGGGATTTTTAGTTCAGCTGATGAATAAACAAAAGGACCCAGATGGCAAGCAGACTAAAAATTTGCTTTTATCACAGTGCATTAAGAGCACCCAAGTCCCTGCAATCTTTCTATTTCTTTTTCCCAAAGCACACACAAAGAAATTATTTAATAAATTCCTAAATAAACTGATGAAACGTAAACTTATAAAACCAGTTACCTAAGTCTAGTATCTGGCCTTTTAATTGTAAAACAGAATTTTTGAGAAAAACACTTTAAACAAACATTTTCATAGTTAAAATAATGCTCCATATTTCAACGTAGCATACCATTATTCTGCACTTTTTTTACAGATTTCTCGTGTTCCTGTTTCCAAGCCCCTGTGAGAACAAGTCTGACACACCTGTACGGACACAGGCTCTGCTCACCTGGGAGCCCTCCAGGCCGTTCCCGGCTTTCCCAGACGATGGCGCAGCGCTCCCAGCGTTAACAACGAGCTGTGTGCTGAGAGCCATGGACACTCCCCGCTGGAAAGGCAATTATTTTATTACACAGTGTACATATGTCTTATTAGTAAGTAAAGAAAAAAGAACACAACTCCAAAACACACCCCCACCCTAAAATAAACCCCCATCAAACCCTCTTATTTTCCCCCCCCAAAAAAAAACCCACAAGGGATTTAACTTTTTAATGGATGCAATAAGGAAAAGCACAAACCTACCACAGAGTGGCTGATTAATTACTGGGAGGAGTTTAGACACTTATTGAAGGCACATATGGGTAAATATAATGGAATTCATGCTCCAGTGCTTTCCTCCAGTTACAAACATCTAAAAAAAAAATCATATGAATAGAAATTAGTTGAGGCTACAGATACCTGAAATGTCATTAGAACAGATTATATTCATTAATGTAAACAATGGAAGTTATCACACAAGCCCTTTGTTTCTATGAAAATAAATATTCGTTCTTTGGGGTGCTGAATTCATGTTTCCAGGACAGCAGATGCTTCCATTTGAAACATTCCTGACTGTGCTTTTTTCTGAAGAATCAGAGGACACTTCCAATCAAAAACAAACCGAGGGAAACAATTTTGTTTCAAACTAGACAGGTACAATTATAAATGGCGAATATTTTTGTGGTTTTGCTGCAATTGCTAGTATAATGGTGGTTTTGGATTTAGGGGAACAGACTTCAGAGAGAGAAAGTACAGATGAGGGAGGTTGATGAACTCAGAACCACAGCATCCTTCCAGTAAAGTCTTTCATTTCTTGAAGCTATTAAGCAATTCTGTATTTTCTAAGCTACTGCAGAAGAGACACACCTTAAACTGGAAACAGAAATTGCTCAACTTGTTACACACTGGTTTCTTTCTATTTGCTTGAAACAGAACCTAGATGGAATAAATGAGGATGGTTTTCAAGCAACCTAGCTTCCTTGGCTTGCCACAGAGCAAAGTTCAAGTCATATAATAGAAAATTCAAAGGAGAGTATCTCTGCTTATCAGATGTTAAAGGTTCATGGGCATTTAGCTGTAAATGAAGATATGTTTTAAATATGCTCACTTGTGAATGGCTATGCATGACATCTCGTTACATTAGCTCTATTAACTTAGTAAAGCAGCAATGAAAGCAGAATATTTTTCTTCCACAGACTTACTACATCTGAGACTGCTCTGAGAGGAGGATCAAGAGAAGAGCTAGTTCCTAATTTTAGCTGTCAGAGCTAGAAGGAAGCTGCTCATGGAGTTGGAGTAATAACAAAATTAAACCTAATAATCAGCCCATCACCTGCTATGGCTAAGTAGGGGTATTCATACTGCTGGGTTGTTTGCTTGCCTTTTTTTTTATTTTAAGAGTTCATATTTTGTTTATGATACAAGGTGTGTTTGTGTACAAAAAAAGGAAGAAAGGAAGAAAACATAAAGCCAGGTCATGTGGGTAGTGCAGCTAGCAACTGGGAAACATTGGACTCCATTACACTACTATGCAACCAAGTATGGAACATACTACTGCACCTGCAGCAAATTCATCACAAATGAAGTCCATACCAATTTCTTTTACAGACTGCAGCATTAATTGATCTGTTGTGCAGTTCAAGTAAGACATCTGATGGTTTTACAGTCACTTTTCTCCTAAACAAGGTATGTTCTACCTTTCTAGCCCACACTACAAACTTGCATTGCTGTATAAAAAGCAGAATAAACGAGTGTTGCCCCCATCTCCTTCTTTGTTGGGTTGCCATACTTTCTTTTATCTATTTAGTGAAGAAGAAAAAAGCCCAGTGGATAAAGAACTGCACTTAGTTTTTGCTTTTTGAAACTGATTAGACTTTGTTTCAACAAATGTACTGTAGCTACAGAAATACTCTGTGCTGTACTATTCCTTAAGGAATGCAGGTTATACCTGTGGCACCGCCAGCCAGAAAAGTGTGAGGATTTCTAGAAGCAGATAGGAAGGTCCAACACTTTGGTTCTTTATTGAGGGAATCCATCTATGACTTTGGTGGTATTTTTTTTAATGCAGAGGGTGTACACCTGTGCCCTTTACACCTACTGAGAAGTGACACTCTCAACAGTATATCCTCAAACACAAACTTCCCTGTAACACCCTGGTTTATGTAGTGGAAACGTTTCCTCTGTTAACTAATAAAACTTGAGCAGAGACATGCTCGGTTCTTAACATTTTAATTTTTCTTAAGTGATAGAATTTTCAAAAAACACATACTAGTACATATACACAACCACTTCAATCTTTACTATATTAATTCCATGCCTCCCTGAAATCAGTATAAAACATTCACTAAACTTCAAGCTAATGTTTTTTCATCTACTTTGTAAAATTTTGTAGAACATGCTATTGTAACACAGAAATTATGGCCAAGAGTTTGGCAATGAGGCAATGACAAGTCATTGTGACATTGTGCTGTGGATTTCTACTTTAGGGAGTAAGATGGATACTGCAGTCTTGAAGATGAATTAATTTTTTCTAACCATGGCATGTTTCATTCAAAGCATTTGCCAAAAGGAAAACTAACCAGTGTTGGCAGCATAATGCTAACATATTTAATAATGCTAACAGCACAGGCAGCACAGTGCTAACAGTCTTCAAAAAATATTTAGGCTTTACTGAATTATAAAAGAAATCACAGCAGAAGGGAAAGATGCATCATTAAATGAAACAGTGTTAACAGCTTCAATAAAAAAACCACATTTCCCTTTGCTTTAATGTAGTGAATTGGTGATTTATTAGCAGTAGATGACTTTGCTTTTCTTAGACAAACTGATAAGATTTTTCTGTTACTACCAGGGATCAGGACTTCCTGCATTTACTTCCTTGTTTGTGCAGCAGCAGCATCAGATAAAGGATGGTGTTTATTAGTTACCTGCCTATTTCACATTTAATTCAATTAAAGAAGTGACACCCAACAGGAGATGAAGAATGTGATAGTTTTGCTGAAGTTGAAAGCTTAAACACATTTATTTACATTCAAGAAGTTTTTCTTGTTTGGCTTTCTGACCTCTCAACTAATACAGAACTTTGCAATGAAAAATTCACATAGTGTACAATACTGAAACAGGAAGGGAATGAATTCCAGCTTTTCACTAACACTGTGCTGTTGACAATCTCTGTTATGATCTAGTGGGGAGGTGACTGTTCCTCATTTACACCTCACACTGTGCACTAGTGCTTTCTGAAGATGAAATACAGCTCTGTGCAAAAGGCTCATGCAGCCCTTGAGCCCACAGTCTACCTCTGGAGTACCAGACCAGACTGGTCTCATGCTGGATACTGTAAAAATGAGTAAAATGATAGAAAGTGGCTGGAAAACCAAAGAGTTCTACAGAACTGGAACAGTAAAGTGGGATGCAGGCAGCTCTGCCTTGGGACTGCACGATTTAATGATTTAGGATTTTGACAGGATTGCTACAGAGCTCTGGTCCCCACAATCTATTTTTGGTGCTAATGACTTACACTCCAGAGTCTCTAGATCCTCAGTTTGCCATCATCTGGTAACAGCAATGTCTGTGCAGAATTCCCATGCCCTTCAGAAGGGAAATCTGATTATAAAATCAGTGTCTGAGATAAAAGTCCCAAGTTCAAGAGCTATCATCTCCTCCCCTGCTTTAGCAACACTTGGGGTGAGTGAAGTCAGCAAATCTGGGTGAGGCAGTTTGAACTTACAGAAACTATTTCTTCTAATTACTCAGAAAATACAGAAAGGAAAAAAAAGCTGTTTCACAGCTTCTGCCTGGACTGGCACTATGACAGTCTGCCAGGCCACAGAAATCACTATGATTTATAATACTTAAGATTAAAAGCTTCCAGACCACTTCAAGTTTGGAGTTACAGAACATGAACAAATTATTTTACCATTTACTTGCAAAAAACCAATCAGATGAAGAGAATTTCAGTAACAGACCGGCCTTTATTGAAAACAAAAGATACCCAGATAGAAGTGGGTGAGCAAGCCTCCCATAATATTATTGGCAGATACAGCCTTTCTTTTTCAGCAACAGCATAATTCAGGGAGAGCTTCATGTGGAGTGGACCCTACCTACCAACATAATGTTAATTTGTTAACCAATTCAAAGAAAAACTGCAAATGTGAGTCTACTGAAATATAATGCATGGTTATGTTTACAGCTCAAATTTGTGCTTTGTTTTTTAAAAATGGAAAGACGATTTTTAAGTACTTTTGTTATTTATGCATACAATGATTTCTTGAAATGTTTAGAGTCTATGTATCCTTACCGTTATTAGTAAGGCTCTGCCTTTTTTCCACCCATGATGCATTTATTACAATCCATCAGCATATATAAAGCAAAGTGGAAGAGGAGAGAGGGAGAAGGAAGGCAAACATTAAAAGTAGGGCCTCTTCTGCTTAATTTCTTGGTTTAAACCACCAGCCTAACTAAATTCTGATCTACTCATTTATTTTCTAGAACACAGTGCAGGTCTACCAATAAACAGTAGTAATAGACAAATAAATTAGGCCAAGAAAAATTTAAGTTTTTCTGATGTGTTTTGATGGGTGAGACAGAAAGAGATTTGGCAAGAAGAAAACATGTGCCAACAAGTGCAAAAAGAAATGAGTATCAATAGAAAATAGGGAGGAGGATGTGAGAGGCAGCAAGCAAGTAATATCAGAGTCTAGAAATATCCTATATCAAATATTTCAAGTTGAAGTGAGTGATTTTTCTAGTGCTCAACAGCAAGTAAAACTGGAAAGGCATCTATCTGAATTTTAACAGATTCTTACAAGAACTTTTTAAACCTTATGGAAAGATGATCACAAAAGTGACTTGCTTTATCTTAAAAACATTGCATGATGTAGTCTAAGGTATTTATATGGACCTTTTAAGGAATGTTACATACATTCAAATCTTGACCATGAGCAGCAGACATGGATTGCCAGCCAGGACAGGAGCACACCTGCCAGCCCAGCACCCCAGATCTGGCTGTCACTGCTGCTGCTGCACAGCTGGGCCTGTTCATGGGGCTCCATACACAGAGCCACCAGCCCAGAGACCCCGGACACCTCCAGGGACTCTGGACAGAGCCTGTGCAGTGTTACAACCCCTGAACAGAGGCCATGGAGCCAGTCTGGCACCTCAGGCCAAACCTGGGAAGTCTTAAATGTGAAAACCAACACCAAACCAAACCTTTGTCATGGCCCTGTTGCTAAGAGACTAGGGTTTATTTAAATTTTGGTAACCTGGCAGTGAAGGCCAGTACTGGCTTATATCCTTATACCCAAACAGCCTCTCAGCTCCCAGCTAGTGCTCTGCCACCCCCACTCTTACACCTTGCTCACACGGCCCTCAGTCCCCACACAGGCACCGGGTGATGCTGCAGGACAGCTCCCACTCCTTCGGGTGAAATCTGTCCCAGGCCCTGGGCTCCCCATGCTGTCAAGGCTCTCTCACGTCCTGGGTGAGCCCTGAAGGGCAGCACTTCTCTAGTAATGGCTCTGGCCACAATGTATGCACAACAAAATTATCTAGAAGTTAATGCTAATTAAACTAAACTCCCTGTTCATCTGGGCAAGGTCCAACATAAATAGGATTGGCACAGCCTTGGTGAGGGTGTGTGATCTTTGGTCAGGGCAAGGTGCACACGAAGGTGCTTTGGATGGGGTGTCAGCTCATGGCTCTGCAGGGGCCATTACTGCAATAGCTGCTTTCTGATGGAGCTGCCTGCTCCCTGCTCACAGCAGCACCTGAAGGGCAACACTCACCAAGTCCAACCCCAGTGCCCGAGGCCAAGCCAGCAGCATTGCTTTTATTTCCATTTCAGTTACACTTTTTATGGGATTTCATAGTCCATGTGCTCCCATATGGCAGGGATGTGCTGAACAGCAAAGGCTTCAGACAGCAAATGAAAACCGTGCCATGTTTGTTTAACCTGAAAGCTTTTTTGGGAAGTGTCCAACACCAAATATTGGCCAGATTCAGTGAATCATTCCCATTACTCTTGTTTGTTTTCCACAGCTAGTCCTAGGGACAGCCACCCTCTGCACTAAGACAGACAACAACTGCAGGATGAACCATTTCCTCCAACAGTTGCATCAGGCCTCTCTGTAAGTTACTATTTTCTGCAGAAAGCCACCACTAAAGTAACCAGACACTGCAGAACTACACTATAATAGCACCTTGTGGCAGAGAAATGCAGGGAGTCAGAAGGAGAAATGCTGACACTGAGGCTATCACATGCAAAGAAACCAAAAACTCAACACAGCTCTCTGATCACCACACCACCACAAGATCTGCAGTTTTAAGGCCTCAAAGTACTGCTGTAATAACAAAAATTAGTAATTCATTGTATATACATTGCAAAAAGCAACCTTCTATTCTTCCAGAAAGCTATTTACATGTCGACTACACAGAAAAAGTTAGAGAAGCATGACCATAGATTCTAATGATGGATTTCTAATAGTGATTTGAACTATTAAAACGTATTTCTAGTGGTTTCTAAGCTATACTGGAAACTAACAAGCTAGTGAGCATTTTTATTAAACTTTGTAATTAATATGAAATTTGGAAGTGATCTAGTTCCATGGAAATGTACTAGCTGGGGTGAACAAAGACAGCGATTGTTAAAAAAAGCCAAAAATCAACCAAAAAACCCAAACCAAAACCAAGCAAGGCATGGAGTAGGAGACTAATGAGAGTGAAGGAAATGCAGAGAAATAAGAACATGGTTGAATTATTTCAACAGCCTCTAAACTGTTCAGGGAATAAAAGCTCATGGGTTTACATGACACAGATCAGGGAAGTTTTACTGTTCTCATAAACATCAGCTCATAAAATTCAACCAGTTGAATCTTTGTGGAACAAGGAAATAATTTGTTTGTTGCTTTATAGATTTATGTTGAATAGGTGAGCAAGGAGATACAGTAATTGCTCTTGGTGTATGCTACTTATAGGAAAAAACCTTCCTTTTTCCAGGGGACAGATTTTTAGGGACTGTCAGGGAAGACAAAAAACCCTAAGAACTTTTATGAAATTCATTATCTTTTTGAACTGCCAAAAAATATTTTGATTTCTTATATTGTGTGAAAACCCTTCCCAAAAAATCTGTATTAATAAAGAAAAACAGAACAGCTTACAAAGCAAACCAGTTTTATTACCAGAGCTGTTATCCTTCAGGACATATTAAGATTGTTAAGAGAAGCAACAACCTGTGACTGACAGCAGTCACACTGCTTAATGTGCTACTGGAAACATCACTGAAATGTGCTAAACACAAAAATTAACTAAAAATTACTTATATTATTTTCCCAATGTTGACAGATACTTAGGTCATAGTATTTGCAGCCAAAAAAAAGTAACTTATTGAAGAACAAACTCAATTAATACATCAACTCAGAGCATAGGACTTCGTTTTTACCACAGTCCAGTAGAAATACAGAGAAATATTTGAAATTTTTTTCTGTTTTAACATACTTAAAACTTGTATTCCTCAGAGCACTGTATTTTTGTGGTTCTATGCTATCCAATCTTCTTGTAATGTCATTGCTTAAAATTCAAGCTAAGGACTTATTCTGAAGACTAGTAGTTCCTCTCACGTCTAAAACAGAAATTCTGCTGAGTCATCCTAACTAGATAAACAAATATTTATGCAACATTTATATAATTTTTTTTCTCAGCTGAAGAAAACAAAGTTTCTGATGCTAAACTACCTTAGAATTCGGGAGACAGGTTTTCTAACTGAAGTTTGTCTTTGCTGCAGCAGAATAACCTAAAGCACTTGACTATTACTCATCTAAGGGGACTTTTCCCAATTAGCAGTTGTTTCACTTCTGCTTTCTTCCTCACAGAAAGGATTATGAATTCTGAACATCCATTGTAAAAGAACCTGTGGAATAGATTGAGAAACTGCTTAGAAGAGGGCACATACAGAAAGTACCTACAAAAGGACTGTTCTATCATTGGATGCATTTATTGTCTCATGATTTTACTGGGAACCTCCCCATTACATTCTTTCCCTGGCCAACCCAAAAGCAAACACACAGAAGCTTAAAGAGGAACTCTCTCTTCCTAGATCATTCCAAATTTTAATCTGTTAGTTTCCATTTGACAAAAGAGATATTCCTAATAGCATGTAGAAATCTGTAAAAATATTGTTAATTGTGCAGTCCATTGGAGCTTGTACTAGAACAACCTTGCACAAAAGAAGAAATGAACACTGTGTAGTTTTGGATAATGCAAGTTTTCTAATTCTAGTAACTTCAAAAAAGATTAATTATGAACAATATTTAAATACAAAAGACATTACCTGATTTTCACTTCCCTTCTTGTCATGCTTAACTTAGGATTTGAGGTTCTAAATCTGCAGACTCAAATACACCCTTAAATAACCTATTGGACTCCTCAGTGGGTAAGTTTCAGTATTTGCAGCACAGTATTACTTTTCACTTAATCTGTCCTCACGTCTAACAGAGACAAGGAATGTATGTGTACTTTATGACCACATATGCTGCCATACAAAGACATCCTCTGGCTATGACTTTGGTCTCTATATAACATTGAAATACACAATAGAAAGGAAGGAAACCAGAAATCCCAATTTAGAAAGGCTTTTGGGCAATTTACACGAAATGTATAAATTTAGAATTAATTTTATTAAAAATTAATAAAATGGCAAAACTAATGTATTTTGAAACAAATCTTGAAATACTACAAAAACGACGAAGGCTTTTTCGATCCATAATTACCATCTGAATACGCAAACATTTACATCAAAAGCTTATTGAAAATTAATATTTTGAGTCAGATTTTTGGACTATGTGGACGCTGTATGCCAGCTCCTAAAGCAATATAAAACTTCTCATTCAGAGTCCAAAAAAATGTAGGGAGTCCCTAAAAATGTAGCAGAAGCATTTCCGCACACTGATTTCAGTAGTCAAGTTTGTGCAGAAGTGATTCCACTAGATTCATAGGGTACCTTTTTGAGGCAGCAGAAACTTCTCACTTCGTGAGCTTTTTGACCTCTTCCAGCTCTTCTATAGGTTCCCACTTCTGATTGATTGTTACCAGCTGGAAGAAATGAAAAATATGAAAGTTAGTAAAATCCCAGTGAGCATTTACTCCACTCACACACCCTCCCATATCAAACATCAACTTATTGGTGAAGAAGTTCTAGTGGCTTTACATTTTCCTTTCAGAAATACACAACACGTGACATAATTGTTGAACAAAATCACTTGGATATTTATTAAGTAATAATGCCAAATAATTTTATTTTTCCTTATCCTAAGTGCTCTATTAAATTAAGTTTTTTTTCCTTCAGGCTGCAGTACTCAAACATTCTTAATTCTGTAATTCAGGGACAAGGTAAGGATAAACAGCACTTCCTGTAAGTTTCCACTCCAAGTTTCCATTGTTATCAATGGAATTGAGTAAATGGTTGTTTGAGTGGGAATGGACATAGGAAAACGACCAGAAGTACAGTATGAATTTAAGATCAGACCTACAGAGTAAAAGCTGAATCCCTATCATTAGGTAATATCGTGAAAACAAAGTAATGAATTTAACTTTTAACTAGATATACATCAACTTTCCACGTGTTTTCTTATTCATATTTCATTAGTGCTTACACATTAAAAGAAGTTATTCGCTGTGTTGAAAATTTATGCTATTTATACATATATTATATGTACAAATTACCTTCTGAGGCTTGGTAGGATCAATATTTTCCCATGGTTCTGAACTGCCAATCTTGTGAATGCTTTAGAAGATAAAACAGGTATTATGTTTTAAGGTGTGCCCTTGCATACATTTTCATATGAGCAGTCTATTGTCAATAGAGCTATTTACTTAAGTAAGGAGTTCCCTAAAACACAAGTTTACAGGTTTGGGCATTATATTTTAAAATCTGGATAGGAATCAATCATGACTTGGTTTATTTGCAGCTTCCAAAGCACCAAGCAAGCCAGCGCTGTTCACATATCACTGTGAGGGAAGCAAGCTGAAAATTCAAAACTGAATAAAGACACAAATTAAGGGGACTTTTACCCTGACAGTTAAAATGCCTATTCCAATCACTTCAAAATAAATAAATAAACTCCTAAAATCTTTAAGAGTATAGGATTTGGCTCCAATTATCAGCCAAGCCATTGGAATACTCTCTTTTTTTAAGTTAATACTATCAAACACTGTTTTTTACATACAGGTCAATAGCCTGGTTGCAATATATGTGCATCTCATCTACCTATGTGATTACATTAAATTCTTGATTAGAACATTCAAAACTTCTTATACCTAAAGCAAAGAAAAAACAGAATTATTAAATCAAAAGTAACGAAGTAACTTGGACTACATTCCACATTAATTACTTTCCTCACTATTTACAATATGCAGATACTTTTGTCATTCCCAGTATTCCCAGTACTCTGGAACATGTGCCTGGTGCCCTTATTTTTTGTGTGTGTGTGTAAAACATCATGGTTAAATACTCGGTTGAATAAAAAGAGCTAGAGTAAACTCCAAGCAGTAAGTTTTTGCTTACATCACATCAGATTTGTGGAATAGGGAATAGACACAAAAAGAGAACGCCCCAGCTGCTGCCATGGACAATATTCCGGCCAGGGGAATGAGCTGAAAGATAAAATAGAGAAAAGAGCTGAATTTATGTCCCAGCTACAGACCACGAGTAGGGGGAGCAAGAACTAGGGAGGGATTACCTGTTCAAGTACATTACCTCTATACTACTCTTTACACCACTTCACTTTTAATATGTGAATTTCACTTTTACCTCTGTATTACCCTTCTCCACACCTCACTTTTAATACATGAACATTAAGCGAGTCCCATTTCCTTGGGAAATCAAGTGGCACTGGCGGCGCAGCCACCTGAGCCCTCAGCATCCCTCCCCGCGGGCGGGCAGCACGGCCTCGACCCCCTCAGGCAAACTTACTTCTTTTTTCGTTTTAAGCGTGTGCCAGATGCCCTTGCTCATCGTGGCGGCGGCGGCGGACCGGCACAGCGGGACGGGCACGGGCGGAGTGGCGGCCAGCGCTCCGTGAGGGCGGCTGAAGGCGGTGCCGGTGCCGGTGCCGGGCCGGGCCCGCCCCGCGCTCCTCCGGCCCCGCGGCACAGAGCGCCCCCCAGCGGCCGCCGCGCAGCGGGATGTGGCCTGGCCCTTCCCGCGCCGATCCTCAAACCTGGCTTCTCCATTTCTCCTCCGTCTTCGTCTCTGTCCCCTTCTCCAGGCAGCTGCCCAAAGAACAGGGCAGCTAGGCAAACGTGCGTCTTCAGAGCTCGGAGAGGTGCCTACAGTGACCAAAAGAGGAGCCCAGTGTCACCATGTCCCCTTGTGCTCAACCCAGGCCGGCCCAGGTTCTCATCACTCCCCAATATCCCTCTGAGAAAACCACTCCTATCCCTCTGAGAAAAACCACCAGGGGCAGGCGGGAGGTGAGAGCAGGCGACTCCTTGGTTTGTCCCCTTCTCTCTTGGCCTTTCCTGCATGTTCTGCTCACTCCCTGCAGCAAGGAGCAGACACGGCAGGGCACAGCCAGCTCAGCTGCTCCTTCGAGAGAGCACGGGTGGAAATCAAGCAGTGGCATCTTTGAGGCAAAGGAGCCGGCAGCATTTTAGTCTAGTAACTTTCAGGTCAAGCAATTCCAATGCAAATTCTCAAACTGGAAAGCAAAACAATTTTCATACTTTTTCTCAGCACTACTGCTGAGAAACCTTTGTGTATTTGGGAAGATTATGAGCACTGTCTATTAGTTGCCACCAATAAAGCTATAGGATGGTCCTTTCTATAAATTGGTGATGAAAGCCGCCAAGCTGCAGGGCAGTAGTTTGTGTCTGAACCCTTTCCTAGGTTACAACAGCTTGTACTACTGCCTTTTGCCCCCTCAGTCACCAACTGCCTCAAGACTTCCTTCTGTGATCCATCTCACTCAGTGCAGTCCCTAGTGTGCCTCTTATGAGAAAGAAGTATTTGTTAATGGTTTGTAACTTCTGAACCTCAGCTAAAATAAGGAACTGTCTTCGAATACTTATTCAGAAGTATTTTCACTGGGAAAAGATAATAAAAAATAATAAACTTCCTACTCTATTAAGTTAAAATGCACACTTACATAAGTGTAATACCAATTTCCGTATAAGTGTTTGTGTATTTTAAGAAGGCAATCTACAAAAATGTATTGTTAAGGAATGGGTGGGTGGGGAAAATTGCTGCAGAAATTGTCATTAAGAAAACTCTCTTTTCTAAAGAAATTATTTAAGTTTGAGTTGATTGCATACTTGTTATATGCTTACTCAATCCAAATGTTTGTACAGTAAGCAGTAACTAATCTAAAATTACTCCCAAAACCCCTGACTTCCAAAGCAACACCAAGGAGTTAAGCATTGACAAACCTTTCACTGCCACTGTATTTTGTAATCTGCTTGTCAGAAAGTAAGCCTGTAGATAAGCACATATAAAACACCTTACATATTATACAGAATGGGACTTCCTCCTATTTAATTTCCTGAAAGCTTTTCTATTTCTTACATATTTGCTGTCTTCTGGAGACTTCACAACACATTTTCTTATTATGCCATTTTTGTACTTAAAAGTAGGAAATCTACAATAACACTAGGCTGTTTCACAGTGTTTTATCTAAGTATCTCAATTACTTGTTTCATCAGATGTAAACCCACCCAAAGCAAACAAGATTTTAATTTATTATTCATTACTGAAATAACAGAACTTTTCACAAGTGATACTTTACTGTATTTCACACTCCCTGAAAACTGCAGTAAGTACAGTACTAAAGAGCAGGAAAGATGCAAACCTTTTCAAAATCTTTGTAATATATTTAAAAATACTTATGCCACTCCTTCTTAGATTCAAGAGGCTAATTCTTGATTAGAGAATTTTTCATAAAATTCCAAGTCTTTTATGCTTAAAGATGGTTTTACAGTCTTCAGCAATTTCACAAAATGTTCCTGTTTTACAGCAGTAGCTTTGAGTCCATTCTCTTGCAATGCCAACAAAGCAGCCTTTAAAAGAAAAAAACAAAAACAACTTAGTCCTTATCATGTTTTAAATTGCAAAGAATACTCTAAGTGTTCTAAAATATTTTACAAGGAATGAAGT